TTCAGAACTTTCACTATATTACATCACTCATTTACTAACTTTTTTCATTCTTTAATCATCTTCTTCATTATCATCATCATTGAATATTATCATCTCATTCAAGATTTCTACTCCTTCTTCTGTTCAACTCTTTCTATCTGTTTATTTATCACATTGTACATATTTCTGACAATGGCTCTCTGTTCTCATAACAAGCATTATTATAGTACTCATACCAGGCAGTTCATTAGCAGTAAGTGTAATGCATTGTGAAATATGATCAGAACTTGTTTATCTTCTAACAATCATCAGAACATACTATTATAAATGACACATCTTCTTCATCTTCTTATACACTCTTGATCTTCTTTTTCTAGCAGAGATCTGATCATGTTTTGCATGAACACAGATACTGATATTTTGTTTTGATTTATATAGAATCTTCATATGTTGACAGATTCACATTCACTGATAATAATAAACATCTCAATTTTAAATCATTGATTGAAAACTTGAAGAACATGATAATGAAGAAATTGTTTATATTATATATAGTCAGATCTTTCATGTCTCTCTCTACTCTCTCTGTTTCTTTCTCTGCTACTCTCTCTCAATCTCTTATATCTGTCTCCGTGTCTGATTCTCTCTCTCTCACTATCTCTGTTTCTGCAATTCTCACTTCTACTACTTCTGCTTCTTCTGCTTCTGCTGTCTCTGCTTTCATTATTAGCTCTCTTTATTTCAAGAAGATATTGTATAGACTTAATAAATCACATTTATCAGTGTATACACTTCTGCCTTTCTTATCAACTTCTAGAATGATTTATTATATAAAGACTGTGTATAATATAACTATCTGAAGCTCAGTCACAGATATCAATTATTACATTTATTTTAAATATTCATGATAAGATAATTATTTATTTATATCAGAGAATCATCTCTCTTCTCAACAGTGTTAAGATTGTAAGTCTTTTTCTTTTTTATCTTTTCTTTCTGATACTGATTTTTCTGTTCTTAGAGGAAATTATTATGAGTTTTACTGTGTACAAAGTTATAGTGTTCACAGATACTGAGAAACTTTTCACAATTATTAAATTCAATATTGTGAGTATATCTGCTCTGACAAATTTCTTTGAGATGATAGGTCTGTATCAGTCTATTCTCTGATATCTGTCATCTGACTTTGTAATACAGGTGAAAGATATCTGTGTTTTCAAGAATAGAAATATAAATATCATACTCTTCTATATCTGTAGATATGAGGCTTATATATCTTGTCTGAGATATCATTGTGAGAATAAATCATTTGTATACTGTGTTCTGCTTTCTGCATTTTCTCATATCTCTCTCTCTCTTTCTGAGACACCTCATGTGTGTTGTAATTATACATACAATTCTAAGGCCAGTGAGTGTTTATTCAGTAATTGTTATCTCTGCTTTTTACAGTTTCATATACTAACAATAGTTCTTAGTTACTCTGGTGTCAGAGGTCATTTTAATTGAAGATGATAACATTACTAAGACTACTCTCTTCTATTCTCAAGCTTCTTTCAGTGCTTTCTTTTTCTTCTCTGCAGAGAAGGTTGTGTGCACATCAGATTATATGCATTTAGTCTCAGATAACTCTTATCATTATTTGTCTGATTCTGTGTCTTCTTCTTCTTCTATTTCTTCTATCTTCATTCTCTCTGTTCTGACTTCTGATTCTGTAAGTTCTGTGCTCTTCTTCAATTTTTCTACACATATACATACACATTTCTATATTGGCATTTCAGTCAATCTTGTGATAAATAATATTAATGTTGTATACAGAGCAGTAGAGAAATTGAAGATATACACAGTGTTATTGTAAGAGTAGCTTACAGCTCTCAAATTTCTTACAGATCTTGAGTTTTGAGATTTTCTTTATTTTTGACATTTTTCAGATGATGTGATGTTGAAAATAGATTAAATATATGATATATGAAAATGAATGAAGTATGTATAATAACATTTGTCTTTTGCAGCTAATTCTTACAGTTGATGATCAATTTATTTTCCTTTTCTTACACTTTTTCTTTGTCTGCTAGTCATCACTCTTACACAATCTCTATATAATACAGTGTTCAGTGACTAGATTCAGCAGCTTTTATCTTTTATAATTCTATCTCATGCATTATACTGTCTCTCTTCACCTTCTTAGATCACTACAGTGAACAGCCTATTAAAACTAATCTCATCTGATCTCTGAGCATTCTCAGAGGTCAAGATGACTTAGTCTCACATGTTCACAGATGTTTCAGATACTTCATCCTCTGTTATCTCTGTAATTGAACTGATATAAACAGTTAAATTCAACTCTGAATTTCTTTTTCTTCTGTGACCTGATTCATATGTAAGTCTGTTACTTTGAGACTGCTTTTTACTGTATTGCATTCACTGTCTGCAGTGTGTTATCATACAACTGACTACAGTCTCATTACTTATTAAAGTGTGATGTTCATCTAATTTCTTCATTTCTTCTCATTCTTTTCTTATAATTGTGAAAAGATTGAAATAAGTGAGATCATCTGATTCATAAGTGTCTATGATTTCTCTTACTTTGCAAGACTTTTTAATTATAAGTCTCTTCTTCTTCAATACTGATGAGAGTGCTGTAGATGATTATGATTCACTCAGATCTTATATCTTTATCTTTATAAGACATGAATCATTTATTAAGTTGAATAAGATCTGTCCCTCTAATTCTATCAATGTGTATATTCTCAGAGAATGTGATTTGAGTATTTTATAGAGCTTAAATCACCTAGATTGAAACTTCTCAGAACTCTTATTACATATGAGAACTTATGTTTTCATCTTGAGACTAGACTGACCGTGTGACCGTGTCTGAGACCAGGACCAGAATTTTTGATAGTCTCATTACCAATTTGACAGATCTCATTACACAGTTCTATCATTAGATAGTAGTCTCATACTGTCTCAGTGAGACTTACTGTCTACTCTTATCATATTTTTCAAATGAGATCATGATTTTCACTTCTGAATTTAAATTATTTTTATTGCTTTAAATGACTTTAAATCTCATTTGAGTGTTACCAAAAAGTGTTACTTTTTAAAAAATTAAAAATAGTCTAAAAAAAACCTTAAAATGTCTAAAAATAGTAACTTTATGCCAAGAATGAGACTAAATGAGACTAAATGAGACCACTTTCTTATTTTTTTCAAGTCATGATTTCATTTTGAGATCTGATATATAGTCACTTTGTATATTTGTTTAATAATTAGTCTCAGCGGGATTCATGCCAAGAAATGTATGAGATCAGATCAAATGAGATCAAACATGAAATTCATAATCCCGGCGGCCAGTCTACTTGAGACTCAATTTCTTAACTAGTGAGTCTTGTATTCTTTTTGATTGAATTGCTCAGTTCAGAAGTAACTTATTAGCTTTTACACATATATGACTGATCTCTTTCACTCTTAGTTTCACATTCACAACTGTTATGTCTGTAACTGTTATTCCTACTGTATTCACAATTGCTATTCTCTTTCTCACCTTTTTCAAAGCATTCTTCAGGATGTGGAAATGCAATTCATACAACAGATAGAATGATGAACACTTGAAGACTGCATGCTGCTGAATTCGCGTGACTAATAGTGTCTGACTAAGATATTCATCTCATAATCTCATAGACTTGCTGACTAGATATTTTATCAGCATGTTGCTCAAGATTTCATTGAAGTGTTTCATCTTTCTGTTCATTCACAGATGATATAGCATTGTTCTATAATGTCTTGTCTGTAACTGACTCATGAAATGCCTCATCACTTCTTCTACAAGATTTGCACTGTTATCAGTTAGAATCTCATGCAGTATTTCAAAGATGATATAGATCTTATTATATAGAAACTTTATTATCATCTTCTCTATCATCTCTGAAACTGCTTTTGTGACTGGCCAGTCAGTAGCATAATCAATAGCAGTGATTATTCATCAATTTTCATTTAATGTTCACAGTAGTATGTCTATGAGATTTATCTCTCATTATTTAAACAGTTATATCATACACTTCATCTGATATTGTACTTTCTCATATTCTAATCCTTTCTTAGATTTATTCACAATCTGACAATTCAGACACTTGTGAGTGTATATCTGAATGTTCTCAGCCATGCTTGACTATTATACTCTTGATTTGAGTACACTCATGAGTTCAGAGCTTTCTAAGTGATTAAATTCCTTGTGCATGTGAGTCATCAGATCATATTTAAATAGATGTTCTAGATAGAGAGCTTCTGCATATTCTAGATCACAGTAAAGCACAACATTATTTTTCAATTTTCTCAGCTTAAAGTTCAGAAGTATCTCTTCTATCACTTTTATAAGATGCTTATCATCTGACATCTTACTATTCTTCAAGTGAGAGATTATTATATTTACTCATTCTGATTTCTTGTATTCTCTCAGTGTGTTTAATACAAACTTCTCTTATATCTGATTCACAGAACTCTCACTTATGAAATCGGATCTATAACTGATTGCATTAGATATTACAGTATTTAATCTCTTTCAGTATTTGATATTAAGATTGTATACTTGAAACTCTGAGATTTAACATACTAAGTATTTGAAAGATTTCATCATTGATTGTAGATAGATGACACTCTTATGATTCATAATCACTGTTATCATATATCTGTTATCAATATATCTATCTCATAACATCAGCACATGCTTAATTACTAGCAATTTTTTTTTATATACTGAGTAATTGAGCTCAGTGTCTGATAGTTTTCTATTATTATACATCATCAGATACAGCTTGTCATTCTTACTCATCTGTAGAAGAGTGTCTCTAATAGCTCATTCAGATACATCTATCTTAATATAGAAAGATTTATCATAATCTGATTTGTAAGAGGTCTACGCCGAATAGATCGGTATAATATTGATAGGTCTTATATAACAAAGATAAAAACATTAGAGAAGGAAAGAAAGAGAAAGTGCGAGAATCAGCAATTGAGGTGGATATTTATACGCGTATGTGGTGGTGTACGCGGTGGAGCTTCAGGATGGAAGAATATACATGTGTTCATAGCAGCCGAGGATCAGTGATTGAGAATGACCAAGAATTAGAGTGTATGCATTCAAGAATGAAGTGATTGAAATCTGTGAAGTGTAATGAAATAGTCTATATGATTGATTGAGCGCAGTCCACCATATTAGCCCTCTCTTTCAGAAGCAGTTTCCATCAGTCAAGAGCTGCTGTTTCAGATAATATGAAGCTCAGAGTTCAGATCAGTTGATCATAGCTGACTCATTTCACAAGATATTGCTGACTGCAGTCACAGAGTCTCTTATCAAGAATATTCTCAATCTCTCACTCAAGCACATTATCTTCTTCTATGATGTCTGATGACTGTCAGTCAGAAGTCAGTTGAGAAGAAAACAGATCAGTGACAGCACAGTGAAGTAAGCTTGTATGAAATACATTATAAATCTCTGATGATGTGTTAAGACAGTAGTTATAACTATCTAGAACTTCTATCACTTTATACTTGATATAGTAGTAATCTAGTATACAAGATAAACATGTGATTCATATGTTCTTAAGATTCAATTATATCAGATCTTCTATCTTATATTGTTTAGCAGAGTCTTGATGAATATTGATTTGATTCTCTTGATCTTGTTTCATAGTTACTATGAAGATCTCTGCTCAATTGCAGGCATTTCAGAGCTTTATTACTATATTATCAGTGATCTGAATCAGACTGCAGAGGTTCAGTGTGAACTGTGTAATCTCTAGAAGATTCAATACTTTCATGTGATATTCATATGTAAGAAAGAACAGGCTTATATCTGTTAAAATAGTATCTCAACTGTTGATAGCAATCTCTGCATGTAGAAGAAGATTATATCAATCATCTTGTAAGTGATTGCAGAACTTATAGAGATAATTCTTCACAGTCTGAATTATCTATTCTGATGCATCATCAGTCTTGAGATGATAAGCAGTTAATAGACAGTATATGATCTTGAGAACTTGACAGATTCTTGTTCAGAGAGTACTCACAAATTGACAGTCTCAATCTGATACTATAGATCTCAGCAATTCATGTATCTGATAGAATGAACTCTGTAGAAAAGCTTCAGTGACTTGTTCAGTATTCATCTTATTACAAGATTTCAATATTATATCTTTGCTCAGTCAATTCATGATGATCAGAATGTTTCTACAACTCTTACTCTCAGATAGATTAATAATAAAGTCAATTACTACATCTTATCAGATTCTATCAGAGATATTAAGTGATTTTAATAGATCTTTTCTACAGTTCTTTCATGAGATAATAGAAGAACAGTAATTACAGTTTCAGATAAAGCATCTGATACTGTTTAATATCTCAGGTCAGTAGAACTCTCAGAAGATCATTCTATACAGTTGTTCATAGCCTGAATAACTGGTTATATGCAAATCATGCATCTCTTGCATTATTCAAGTGCATAAGAATTCAGAGTGAAGGACTCAGTGTCATTTACAGAATTATAGAGCATTATTATCATCAATTGAACATTCTGAGATATCAGTTCTTATACATAGTTCTGAGAGAAATCAGAGTGCTTCT